CCTAGCTTCGGCCCGAACACATCGCACCGAACCATTTCCGCGTCATTTCGAAGTGCTCCACCTCAAGGGGGTGCTGACTCTGGGGGTGCTGGCTCTGGGGGCGCTGTTCGCTACGCCGCTCACCAGCTTAACCTGTGGCCGCACCCTCAGTAACCATAGGTTTCGCCAACCCTCCTCTGGACCGGGTCCCCTAGTAACGCGTCTGCATTCCACGCCTGGGGCTGCCTCGCTCACGTTCGTGCCTCTGGCACGGACACGCTCACTGCCCGCACTATCCCCTGTGTCTTCCTAGGTTTCCCCCTCCACTCGTCTGACTGGCACTTCTTTCACCTTACTTCTTACCGTTTCTTTCACTCTCGCGACGTCACTTTTGACGAGTCCGTCTCCTTCTACTACCGCTCTCCCCACCGTGGTCCCTCGGTCACTCCCCCCCAGTTCCTGGTTCCCCCCCTTCCCCCGGTAGTCCCTGCTCCCCCCACTTCCCCGCCCTGTCCCGTCTGGTGTGTCTCATGTCACCCCCCTCCCGTCGGTTGTCCCTGCCGAGGAGTCAGCTGACTCTCGCGGCTTGGCGGAGTCCCTTCTCCCGCTTGTCCCTGCCCCTGACTCCCCTCCCCTGTCCCCGCCGTTGCTGTCACAGCCGCAGCCACCTCCGCAGCTGCCGCCGCAGCCGCAGTCGTCATCGTCACCGCCGCTGCGGTTCGTGAGTTCTGGGGGTGCTCGGGAGCGTGCTGGAGCGGGTACTGGAGCGGGTTCCCGTTCTGGGGGTGCTGGCATGGAGCTTCTCGGAGGGAGTCTTCCTGTCGCTGGTGGTTCTGGTGTAGGCGTCGGGCAACAGTCGCAGCAGTCGCCAACGGTGTTCGCTCTTCGCCTCCTCGGTCTTCCTTCCCTTGACCGCCTGTAGGTGCCTCCTCCGTTGCCGCCGCTTCCTCCCTTCGGTCTACGGCCCGGTGTTTCCTCCCCCGGACTCCTCTCTGGCTCGTTTCCCTTCCCATTCTCCTCCTGTGTCTCCTCCCCTCTCTCCTGACCCGACTCCTCTGTCGCACGTCTGGTCTCGTCGTCCGTCTCGTGCTCGTCCTACCTCCCCTGTTCAACGGTCTCACCCTATGTTGCTTCGCTCCCACGCGTCTCATGCTCCTCCGCTCTTCCCGTCTCCTCCTCCGTTGTCGCTCGTTGTGGCCCCGCCCCCGTTCTCTGACTTCCTCCGTGCTGCACGTCCCCTTGTTCCTTGTGTCCTTGCCTCTCTTGTTACCGACCCGTCCGTTCCTGTCTAGAGTCTGTCGGCTCTTGTCGCTGCTGTCAGTGACTTCGCTGCTACCCGCCACCTTGACTACGCCACTGCTCCGGTCTCTGACCCTGCCTGCCCTCCGGCCGTCGGGGGCGTGGCTGCCCTTGGCAGTGACGTTCTAGAGGACAGGCAGTTCGAGCTCACTTTCCTTTCTGATGCCGTTCCCCATCTCTGTTCCATGCTGCTAGTCCCTAAGGGTGACCCAGACGCCCTTGACATCCCGACCCCCCGCACCTACGCTGAGGCCACCTCGAGACCCTGGGCCTCTCAGTGGATAGCTGCCATGGAGCATAATATGGCATCTTGGAGATCCACCGGTACCTTCGTCGACGCAGTTCCCCCACCTAGGGTGAACGTAGTCGATGGCCGATGACTCTTCAAGGTGAAGCGCCCTCCTGGAGAGCCGCCTGTCTTCAAGGCGCACTACGTTGCTCAAGGCTTCAGTCAGCATTGGGGGGGTGAACTTCTTTCAGACCTTCGCCCCGACCCCAAAGATGACCACACTTCGGGCACTACTACACGTAGCAGTACAGCGTGACTACGAGCTGCACTCCCTCAACTTCTTCACAACTTTCCTCCAGGGCAGTCTATACGAGCAGGTCTAACTGCGCCGCCCTTAGGGCTTCTCCGGTACCTTTCCCCCTGGTACTGAGTGGCTCCTCTGGCGCCCCATCTACGGCTTGCGACAGGCGCCCCGTGAGTGGCACGACACGTTGCGGGCTACACTTGCTGACCTGTAGTTCTTCCCTTTGTCTGCAGTCCCCTCGCTCTTCGTCCGTTCCGGCCAGACTCCGTTCTACATCCCTGTCTACGTAGATGACCTGGTCTTTGCTACTGCAGGCCAAGACGCGCTGGCCTCCGTGAAGGCCGAGCTGCTGAGGAGACACACCTACACAAAGCAGCGCGCACCATCACTCTCTCACAGTCACACTTGGTGCGCCAGGTCCTTCAGAGGTTCGGCCTTCAGTTCTCTTCCGCACAGCCCACCCCTCTCCCAGTAGACCACAGAATCTCTGCACTAGTCCTGGATGAGGCTGTAGAGCCTAGTGGTCCCTACGTAGGGCTTGTGGGTTGCCTCATGTACCTAATGACTTGCACTCGTCCAGATCTCGCATACCCTCTCTGCATCCTAGCTCGCTTTGTGGCCACCGGCAAACACCGACCACAGCACTGGTCGGCAGCTAAGTGGGTTTTGCGTTATGTAGCAAGTACATTGAGCATGGGGCTAGTGCTAGGAGGGCGTAGACTAGTGGTCCTTAGAGGGCACACAGACGCTTCTTGGGCAGACGACGCCGAGACTCTCAGGTCCTCAGAGGGCTACTGCTTTAGCCTTGGTGCAGGTGCCATCTCGTAGAGGTCCACTCGCTCCTTGTCTGTTGCCTAGTCTAGCTGTGAGGCTGAGATCTACGCCGGTGTCATGGCGGCACAGGAGCTGCGCTGGCTGACCTTCTTGCTCACCGACTTTGGTGAGCGGCCTAGCTCTGCTCCTGTTCTGTATGCTGACAACAGGGCTATGATCCTCCTGTGTCAGGAGCCTCGACTTGAGGGCAGAGCGAAGCACATCAAGCTGCGGTACTTCCTCCTGCACGAGCTACAGCAGTGTCGCCAGGCCCGCGTAGTACACTTGGCCTCCAGTGCCAACACAGCTGATATCTTTACAAAGGCGCTTGCGCCTAAAGATCATCAGCGGCACTGTGTACAGCTAGGTCTAGTTCATGTAGCCTCTCACTTGCTAGGACCTTGATTGTGTACAGACCTTTATATATATTACCCGGACTGGCCTTGTGGCCTCTTCCCAGTGGGTGGACTAGTAGTTCTGCCCTGGTCTTGCTCTTGCCTTGTTTGTACACGTTTGACTGGTCTTTAGACCCTTGCCTCAGAGGTTGGACTAGTAGTGCCACCTTGAGCTGCTTGTCACTCACCAGGCACTGCCCCTATCCAATCTAGGGGGTGTGTCAATCATAACTTTGTATGTTGTTATAGACTATATAGGGTTGTGCCTTAGGGAGTCCAACCCACTAGGTTATATTATATTGTATGTCATTGTTCTAGTTATTTGTTTGATTCCAACAAGCCCTGCCCTGGATTTGCCCAAAACACGCCAGACCAGTAGACGCGAAGAAATAGCGCGCCTCGACGAAAATTAAGAATGGTTCAAAACGGTCGACCATTTTTGCGTGCGATGTATGGCATGCCCCCATTACGCAAAACGGTCGACCCCCCCCCCCCCCCGACTGTTCCCGTTTTCGTGTTGGGTTCAGATGCCACTACGTTTTTTCGGGGCAACTGGTTTGGGCAACATGTGTAGTTTCCAATAAGGAGTAATACGACAAACAATGACGGCACATTAAGGGCTGCGGCATATGGGCTGCGGCATTGGAAAATAGGCACGCGCAATCAATTTGAGCACACCGTCCGGATTTCGACAAAATAGCAGGTGAGGTTTTCGCTGAACTCGGATTCCGATGGGGAACTTTTCCAAAAACAGAGTTTGAACCCGGATTCTGATGGGTGAATTTTGGCAGAATCGGCTGTGAAACCCGGATTTGACTGGTGGATTTTGACAGAACAGAGTGCTGAACACGGATTCTGACTGGTAGCTTTAGCCTGATACCCGGATCTGACAGGTGCCCCAAAAACCAAAAGTAAGCCCCGACACTTGCGAGATTCAGATGACTCCAACACGTGCGTTCACGCCAGGTGCAGGGGACAGGCAGGCACGTGCAGATTTTTGTCGCGACCCATTAAATGCATGTATTGAATTGGGATCTGGCAAATATTTTCACAGCGACCCAAAATTACATTTCCAATATTCGGCACATCTAAACGAAAACGGGTACAGTCGGGGGGGCGGGGAGGTGTCGACCGTTTTGGGTAACGGGGGCATGCGATACATCGCGCGCAAAAAGGGTCGTCAATTTTGAACCGTTCTTGATTTTTGTCGAAGCGCGCGATTTCCTCAGCAGATGCCGTACGTGGGTTGGCCCTCCCAGACCAGACGAGGCCAGGCCTGTTTTTTCCCATAGCATGCGACCTCCGGCTGCATTCCTACGTTTGACCGAAGAACGAAGTTTGTCCATGCGACTCGTAATGTGAGAAATTGACATTTCATTTTTTTTCCCATGCGCCTCGGAGATGTACCAAACTGCAGAGATCTCTTGGGCAAAGTGCGTCATGGGCCCACGACCTCCTGCGACCACGGCCACCGTCAAAAGTGGCAGAGAGTTTATCCAGGTGGCCCCGATTTGACGCCGAAGGTGCACGAAACCGTTTTCAAACTGAATACGAATTTCGCAGGTGTCCGCTACGACTTGTCGCAACGCACAGCCCACTTTTCCCACCAAACCCTGACCAAACCTGATCGCATGGGCAAACTTCGTCGTCGGTCAAACGTAGGAATGCGCTCTCAGTACGTACCTGGACTTTCGCCCGAACGAACCAGCCCAGGCCAGCCAGACCAGGCCAGCCTGGGTCAGACAAGCCGCATCTGGATGGAGGCGAATATTGGCCAAGGCATGAAGGCGCAAAACTAGCTTCCCTCCCGCTCGCGCACCAAATTCCAGTTCCTTGCATGCAGAATCATTTCTTCAGCTTTCCGTTGCCTACTGGGCTCCTGTTCAGGCTTATCCCTTGCCCTCGTTTTCTTCCCGAGAGCGATGAATGTGGGAGAACTATCTTGCGGTTATTCAGGCGATGGCTGGCCATTCGGCTCAAATCGTCTAGAACGATTATTCGTAGGCATACGAGCCGAGGTCACTTATGTAGTGAAGTTATAGCATATACCTTCCATAATTTAAAGACTGCGATGCCCTATGGCTACTACGATACTTATTACTCGTACCTGATTCGCCGCTCAATACGCTCAGCCAGTTAGCTGTCGCTCAATCATCCCGTGCGCTCGCCTGGAGTGCTCTCACCTCCACCCGCTCACATGCGTATCCTGTCGCTAATTCCTTTGCACACTTATTCGCTGCGTCGCACACAATTTCGCTTCTTCACCCAAACACGCACAGCAGCACCGACGGTTGGACCAGGGGAGTCTGTGTAGTAGCACGGTACAGGCCTATATCCAGACAAGATACTCAACTGGTCTGCGAAATTTCTTCGAAGCGGTCGCTTTCCATCTGCCCAGGCAGACTCGACTCTATGACGAGGCACCGCATTGCGAAACTGTCAGATGTTACTGCTTGTGACGAATGAATCAGAACGGCGTGACTGACGGCGAGACTGACGGCGGCGATTGAGTATCCGATGGCGAGCAGCGGGTTGCCACAGGGAGAGATAACGGCGGGATGTGACGAGCGCGATGACGGGCAGGATGGAATGGGAGGGATGGGAATCGCGATTTCGATGAGAAACGAAGGGAATCGCCGTCTGAGATGGAGGATGACTCGTATTGGGAAGTAGGAAGGGAGGAATAAGGCAAAGGAGGGGTGGTAGACATTCCTGCCCTCGCATGGGTGGTAAGGGTCTTCCGAATTTCTTGTGTTCGTCTATCCCACTGTTCCCAAAAGCACAACCCTAAACGCTGAGGGTACTTTTGACTCAGTACGTGATTATTGCGGCCAAAACCATGACTCCTGCCTGCAGGTCCACCCTGCACTCCTCTGCGTCGCCTGTTGCTCCAAAGCGTGTCGCTCACACCTTGCTTCCCCCCCAACCCCATGCCATCCACCTATGTGCACTCGCGTCCCTTGCAGATCCTCCTTACTCCTCTGCTTCGCTGCGCGACTTTTCCCCCAACACATGTTGCCCCCCCACCCTTCCCCCTTTCCCCCTCCAACTTCCCCCTTCCCTCCCAAGTTCTATTTCCCTTTCCTGCCTGTGCTTGCGCTACTCCCCCCCGCGTCTCGCTGTCTGCCTGTTCCTCTAAGGCGAGTATAAATGAACCGTGACATTCAGAGCAAGATTTGGTACGAATATTTTCTCTTAGGGGATTTAGAAGGAATGTAAGGTCTTGCCAAATTTTCTCCCAAAATCCGCATGATGTATTGCCACTTGAATAGGTACAAGGCAGAGCGGCATTATTACCCTCTATGCTACTACCTCTCAAACATGCCCCAGCCCGCCATTAGCCCCAGGTCACCCAACCTTAACCCTCAGCACAAGTTATACCCACACTGACTGAAGCGCGAGTGACCTTAACAGAAAATGCATCACAGCAGCACGACACGACCGTTTTGCTCCTGCTCCACGCATTGGTACTCCGACCATGATAGTTCGCGTACCAGTTGCAGATATCTGACCAGCCACTGGCAGCCTCCGAGAGAACCTTCCCGCCACTCCTCTCCCACCGTCGCGAGCCCATCGCCGTGAGGCATGAGACGACCATTTAATCGTCGTGGTGGTCGTCGTCGTGGTGATCGTCATCATGATGATCGTCGTGATGATCGTCGTGATGATCGTCGTCATCGTCATCATGGTGATCCTTCTTCTTAGGCTTCTCCTCCTTCTTGGGCTGGCACGCCTCCACGCACTCCTCGTACTTCTCCTCGCACTCCGCCACGGGGCGGCCGTACTTGATGCAGTGGCGGCGGCGGAAGAGGCACCAGTCCTTGCACCCCCACTTGCCGTACTTGCAGTTCTTGAACGACCGGTACGCCTTGCGCTCGCACGCCGCTTCCTTCGCCTCGTCCTCCGAGTCGCACGAGGCGTACTTAATCTTGTACTTTTGAATGCACGTCAGCTTCTTCTTAGGCTTCTTCTTCTCCTTCTTCTCGGGCTTCTTCTCGTGGTGGTCATCATCATCGTCGTCGTCATCGTCGTGGTGATCGTCGTGATGATCGTCATCGTCGTCGTCGTCGTCATGGTGGTCGTCGCCCAAGAAGCGCCGGGCGGCGATCGTACTCTTCTCGACAGTTGTAGTACCTGCAACATTGAATTCGACGGGAAATCAGATTAGATGTGGCTCACATTTGAGTGATAAAACGCCTTTCTGCGAGAAATTAGGTGAATCTACGTCACTCCTCGAAAGACGCGGCGTAAGAGGGGACCTACCAGATTTCTGGGCGCTGACAATGACGCTGGAGTCCGCATAAGCGGAAGGTGCAGGCAGGGTGACCAGAAGTGCGGAAATGGCGACGAGAAGAGCAAGGAACTTCATCGGAGCCATGATGAAAGGAGGGTTGTAGAGGTGTGTTTGGCAACTGACTCTGAAATAACGCTTGGTAATGAGATTGGCTGGAATTCAGCCGCAATTTATCCTCGAAATTTCTCCGCCCCAGTTGGTCCCACCCACATCGGGCAATGCCCGCGTCGATTGGGTCGCAGCCCGTCGCGGTTGGTCTGGAATGCTTGTGCCCCAGCACGGGTAGAGAATACTGGTCCAAGAAACTTCTGTTCGCCAGTTTCACCCTTGTAAAATGTCGCGAGTTCCAAAGCAAATGAAATGATTTGTTTGGATAAAAGGCAGAACATATGTGAAATTCCGATTTCGGGCTGACTTCAAACACTCTATTATCTGCCCTTGACCTGGACATACGGAACCGGGCTGGTTGAACAAACCCGTTTCTTGAAGGCGTCTCGAGAGGGCGGCGGTCCCTTCAGCGCCTCGGATTTGTAGACCGAGCCTCATTGGTGCTGGTGGGGGCTGGGATGAGAATATGGACGGCAGCTGCCCCATCGCCAGGAACACAGGACAATTCTTTACCTCTCTTCGTAAATTCTCTTCCGTCCGATGAGCTCTAATCGACGACTGATTGCACTCGTCTCACCATCATCGATGCCTTTGGGCTGCCCTCACTCTTACGTGGCCTGTTATCAATAAAGGAATCAAGATGTCGACGTGTCTCATCCTTGTGAAATAAACATCAATGATAAGGTAAGTGCTAATGCATTTGACCCTAAAGAGGCGGCTGATACATTGTTTAACTATGTCATGTAATTTGGAAACATAGCTACCACTGAATACGGGTTTTCATTTTGTTGTGACAAAATCGTACTTGATATAATAATGACCCATCTTTCTAGTTGGGCCCAACTTGATTGGGACCCTCGAACAGATATAGGAGGGACAAACAAGCGGGCTGAAGAAAACGTCGTTTCGGGGCGGGCAGTCATTCAGCAGCAAAAGCACATGCCCGCACGACAAATTCGGATATGTGGACAGGGTTCTGTTTATACGCATAATACTAGCTAGCGCGCCTCGTTGAGGCTCGTTTGTTACCGTATTTTGTCGACCTCGATTGGTTGCGGTTCAGTCAAACTCAAAAGAGTGGACACGCAATAAGAAAAGTGTGGTTGGCGGGTGGTCGAAGTAAACACGCTATAGGTGGGGAGAAATTTCGACCAATCAGAAAACCAGTTGTGTTCTTCCATGAGTAGTGAACCCGGGTCCAACTTGAAAATCAATTTGGGCCCACTTGGAGAATGACGAGGCAATGGGGTCGCACAGGTACCTGCGACCTGTGACAGCTCGCAAACCCTGTCCTACAAATTTCCCAGCCAATCGTGTGCTCGCGATTGTTCGCTCTGAACAGCATGGCTGCGTTATGGAACTGCCCTGGTTCTGCCGAGTACGGCTAACCACCCCTTAGAAAAAATCGAGGATCCCTTGGTTTCAAGTTGGACCCGCCTTCACTATTTCAGCCCCTCGCTTTAAGCATTTCTGTAAGTAGTTCCGATAGATATTGTCGAGTTATACTATAGTTAGCATCCGTAGAATGACGTCAGCAAATAGCGCTCGCTGGATGATAGCGTCAGCAAGCCGTTTCAGTCACGCGAACAGTCACGCTCTTTTCAATAGCGGTTAGAGCGCATAGCGCAAATGGTTTTGAACAAGTACATTACCGAATAGGTACTTCTAGCAGATATAAAAGTAGCTTCCTAAACTTTAATTGTTAACTTGTTCTTTCGTAAATTCTGGTCAACACTTTACAATTTCTAAGATTTCCGCTATCTTACTAGTCTACCATTCCAGCAAAGATCCTTGGTTAAGTCTTGAAGTATCACAAGACTGTAACACTGACTCTGGTATTACAACTTGTTAATACTGGCTGTTACTAGAAGTACTTCCAGTATTACTTTCTACTTCAAGTACTAATGTCTGCAGATTCTATACTTGGTCTCATGCACCACATTTCAAATTATTTCACATTTGTCATATTATGCATTATTTACCTATTTCGTAACATTTGTATATCTAATATTTATATAGACTGTATAGGGTCACCTCTTAGCGAGTACAACCCTTAGACATATATCCTTGTACCTAGGTTCTCTAGTAATCAATCATTCAATTATAAGATGGTATCAGCAGTAGGTAGGTCCCGCCGCCCGCCCACGCTTCCGCTCTAGGATCTAGCCGCCCCCGCGCCCTAGCCGCCCGTCCTAGCTGGCCCCGCGCCCGTACTAGCTGGCCCCGCGCCCGTCCTAGCTGGCCTCTGCGCCCGTCCTACTGGCCCCCGCGCCTGTCCTACCGGCCCCCGCGCCCGTCCTAATGGCCCCCGCGCTTGTCCTAGCCGGCCCCCGCGCCCGTCCTAACTGGCCCCGTGCCCGTCCTAGCTGATCCTGCGGCCGTCCTAGCTGGCCCCCGCACCCGTCCTACCGGCCCCCGCGCCCGTCCTAACGGCCCCCGCGCTCGTCCTAGCCGGCCCCCGCGCCCGTCCTTACTGGCCCCGTGCCCGTCCTAGCTGACCCCGCGCCCGTCCTAGCTGGCCCCCGCGCCCGTCCTAGCCGGCCCCCGCGCCCGTCCTAGCTGGCCCCACGCCCGTCCTAGCTGGCCTCGCGCCCGTCCTAGCTGGCCCCCGCACCCGTCCCACCGGCCCCTGCGCCCGTCCTACCGGCCCCCGCGCCCGTCCTAGCCGGCCCCGCGCTCGTCCTAGCTGGCCCCGCGCCCGTCCTAGCTTGCCCTGCGCCCGTCCTAGCAGGCCCCTGCGCCCGTCCTACTGGCCCCCGCGCCCGTCCTACCGGTCCCAGCGCCCGCCATAGGCCCGTCTTAGCTGACCTTGCGCTCGTCCTTCCTGGCCTCCGCGCCCGTCCTAGCCGGCCCCGCGCCCGTCCTACTGGCCCCCGCGCCCGTTCTGCCGACCCTTGCGCGAGCCCTGCCCGTCGACCTCCGGCCCCGTGCTCACCTTCCTGCCGGCCTGCCGCCATTCTGTGTGCGGCCCGCTCTTCAGATACTGCCCTACACCCTCCCTGGTACGGTTCTGCATCCCCCTGCACAGCCCTGCACAGCCCTGCACCGCACTGCGCTGCACTGCACTGCACCGCACTGAGGCTGGGAACGGAGCCGGTGCAGAACCTAGGCTAGGCAAACTAGGCAGTCCTACGCCTGACACAGCAGGGGAGGCTAAGCTACACAAGGGTGAGACACCTAAACTAGAGTACACAGGGTAATAAGATCCAGTAACACTAGAAGCGTCAGCATACAAAGCATGCAAAGCGGCACCTATCTGATCCATATCTAACTCAAAGATCGGCACGCCCTGGCAAAGCAGGCTGTGCCAGTCGGGGAGGTCCAAGGCCGGGCCAAAGCGACGACGAAAGAGATCGTCGAGGCGGCGGAAACAGCGGGCGGTCGGGTGCGGGTGGCGGCACAGAGTGCCGCGGAGAGGCCCGGTCTGAAGCTGGTACTGGCAGGTCATAGCACTGGAGCTGCCGGTAGACGCCAAGTTGCGCGGGCCACCACCTCGGCCACCACCGCCGGAGGTGCCGGGCCAACCAGGTGGGAGACGAGCCCACGGCTGCGACGGCTGCTGCTGGGACGGCAACGGCTGCTACTGGGGCTGCTCCGGCTGCGAAGGCGACTGCGTCTGCTCCTGCCCACCGGTGGTAGTCCCCTCAGGTGGACAACTTCACTTGTTAACTTGTTTTTCAGCAAATTCTGGCCAACACTTTACAATTTCTAAGACTTCCACTGTCTTACTAGTCTACCATTCCAGCAAAGATCCTTGGTTAAGTCTTGAAGTATCACAAGGCTGTAACACTGACTCTGGTATTACAACTTGTTAACACTGGCTGTTACTGGACGTACTTCCAGTATTACTTTCTACTTCAAGTACTAATGTCTGCAGATTCTATACTTGGTCTCATGCACCACCTTTCAAATTATTTCACATTTGTCATATTATGCATTATTTACCTATTCCGTAACATTTGTATCTCTAATGTTTGTATAGACTGTATAGGGTCACCTCTTAGCGAGTACAACCCTTAGACATATATCCTTGTACCTAGGTTCTCTAGTAATCAATCATTCAGTTCTAAGATGGTATCAGCAGTAGGTAGGTCCCGTCGCCCGCCCACGATTCCGCACTAGGATCTAGCCGCCCCCGCGCCCTAGCCGCCCGTCCTAGCTGGCCCCCGCGCCCGTCCTACAAGCCCCCGCGCCCGTCTTAGTCGGCCCCCGCGCCCGTCCTAACGGCCCCCGCGCCCGTCCTACCGGCCCCCGCGCCCGTCCTAACGGCCCCCGCGCTCGTCCTAGCCAGCCCCCGCGCCCGTCCTAACTGGCCCCGCGCCCGTCCTAGCTGGCCCGCGCCCGTCCTAGCTGGCCCCCGCGCCCGTCCTACAAGCCCCCGCGCCCGTCTTAGTCGGCCCCCGCGCCCGTCCAAACGGCCCCCGCGCCCGTCCTAGCCGGCCCCCGCGCCTGTACTAGCTGGCCCCCGCGCCCGTCCTACCGGCCCCCGCGCCCGTCCTAACGGCCCCCGCGCTCGTCCTAGCCGGCCCCCGCGCCCGTCCTAACTGGCCCCCGCCCGTCCTAGCTGGCCCCGCGCCCGTCCCAGCTGGCCCCCGCGCCCGTCCTACCGGCCCCCGCGCCCGTCCTATCGGGCCCCGCGCCCGTCCTAGCCGGCCCCCGCGCCCGTCCTAGCTGGCCCCGTGCCCGTCCTAGCTGGCCCCCGCGCCCGTCCCACCGGCCCCTGCGCCCGCCCTACCGGCCCCCGCGCCCGTCCTAGCGGGCCCCGCACCCGTCCTAGCTGGCCCCTCGCCCGTCCTAGCTGGCCTTGCGCCCGTCCTAGCTGGCCCCTGCGCCCGTCCTACTGGCCCCCGCGCCCGTCCTTGCCGGCCCCGCGCCCGTCCTACCGGCCCCAGCGCCCGCCCTAGGCCCGTCCTAGCCGACCCTGCACCCGTCCTTCCTGGCCCCCGTGCCTGTCCTAGCCGGCCCCGCGCCCGTCCTACTGGCCCCCGCGCCCATTCTGCCGACCCCTGCGCGAGCCCTGCCCGTCGACCTCCGGCCCC